TTTTCTTTCGGTTCTCTTATATAAGTACCTAAGTAACACAGTGGCACACTCACCAACAAATATTTAATGACGCATGACCAGCTCAACGCTAAATCTCTTCCTTAATTTTTTACTTTGATGGAAGTTTTACTTGATTGAGAAGTTTTACGTTTGAAGAAAGTTTCGCTTATTTTCAATATTTATGCAGATTTTTTTCAGCTGTTAATTCTTTTTAAAGTTACTTTAAGACTTCTTCTCTCCTAACTTTTACGTTGGCAATTCCCTATTATTTCTTGTAAACTTTCTTCTATCCAAAGTTGTTGTTGCTATGAAGGATTAAAATCTGGTAAGTTTTTATTTGACTCTGAGGTGAGTATGCCTTCAAAACCGAGCTAAGAATTATGACGATTGTAGAATGTGTAGAAGTTAATATGAGTGAAAAGATTTCTTTGAGCTCCATTCTATCCACAGCGTTGCGCGTTCACTCCGTGGTCCTACTATTGACTCTAACTATTATCTTGTTGCAGCCAAGATACGCACCCACTTTTGTGCAAGTGCAACACACAAGGAGTGTCATGCCGCAGTGAAGATGAAACAACAGCCTACTTCGGAACGTTACAATCGACCACAGCACGTGAGGGTTTGGACGGATACCGAGGTTTGAAGAGCGAAGTGAGACGCATTTGCAGGCAAAAAAGAATGAGGTCGAAATGAGTGAGTCCGAAGAGCTTGGCAGTGGAAGCAAAGCACTCGGAGATGGTGAATCCTACTTTCCAATAGATGACGATGGAGCGAACGTTCCATTGCCCCACAATGAAGAAGTTCGAATAGTAATTACTCGCCTAATGAACAACAAAGCGACGGAAGCGATGCATTGTCGACCGAGCTACTCAAACACGCAGCGAAGAACTGATAAGTAGCATGCAAGCGCTTCTTTGTAGAGTTTGCTCGGCCGAAAGCGTGCCCGACGATTGGAATTTAAGTGTGCTCTGGCCAAAAAGATGACCCCATAATCTGCGAAAACTCCCGTCGAATAAGCCTTCTCAACATCGCGTATAAGGCTCCATCGAGCGTATTGTGTGAAAGATCAAAGCCCATCGTCAAAAAACTATGTGGACCTTATCATTGTGGCTTGAAAAATCAACAAGATATTTACCATGCACAAAACTTGGAAAAGACTCGTGAAAATATAATCGTCATACAACGACTCTTCGTCAATTTCAAAGTTGCATTTGACAGCAAGAAAAAAACTGCCTTTATGCCGCGATGTCTGAAGCTGGTATCCCCGCAGAACTAATACAGCTGTGTAAACTGACGTTGAGCAATATCAAAAGCTGCGTCAGGATCGGGAAAAACCCCCGATCCRTTCCTCACCAAACGAGACTTCAGACAAGGCGACTTACGTTTGTGCGACTTCTTCAATCTAATCTTGGAGAAAATAATTTGAGCTTCAGCGCTGGCGTATGCTGATAATATTGATATCATTGGCCTTAACAAACACTTAGCTCTGCTTTCCACAAACTGGATAAGTAAGCGAAAGTAATGTGTCTTATTGTGAACGAGGACAAGACGAAATATCTCCTGGCATCAAACAACCAGTCGTTGCACACGCAACTTGGCTCCCACGTCCCTGGTGACTGTGATAACTTCGAAGCCGTAGATAATTTCTCCTACCTTTGAACCAGCATCAACACCAAAAACAACGTCAGTTCTAAATCCAACGAAGAATAAGTCGTGCCTACAGATGTTACTGAGTAGGCAATTGAGAATTGAATTCCTCTCTCGACGAAGCCCAAACTATRCAAGTCACTCATCATCACCGTTCTGCCATAAGGTGCGAGGCATGGACGATGACAGCACCTGATGAGTCGGCGTTACGAGTTTCGAGAGACAAGTTCTGCGTCAGTTKCATGGTGCTTTGCACCTGGGCTACGGCGATTACCGCAGTCGAGAAAAYGATCAGCAATACGAGATATACGACGACATTGACATAGATCGGCGAGTTAAGAGACAGCTAGGTCATGGCCTCCGAATGGATGAAGCAGATGAGAGCAGATGAAGAGGAAGAAAACACCAGGTGGACCAAAAGGACCTTTGGATAAACATCCATTCTAAAATTTATTATAGTTTAGAAATCAATAAAATGTGGAAGACACTTTCTCACTCCAAAACGAAACGGTTGCTTATTTATTTTGGTTTTATTTAAATTTCATTCAAATTCACCGATCTTGCCAACACCCATTGAATGTCAGTCATATACTTTAATTGCTAATTTGTTTGTATGGCAAGCTCATTTAAATGCAATATTTTGCACGAAAGTGTCGACCATTTTGTTTTCGAAATATTGTCAATTCATAAATCAAATTTGCAATTTAATTAAATCGGTGGTGATTGTAGAGCGAAAGCGCGTTCACAGTTATATATATACGCGCGCCTACAACCCACACACAAATACTTAACGTTACAGCGGGCAGAGCGAGGTTGTACGCAAGCGACTGTGACGAGAGTCTGAAAAGTCAAACAAGTTGCCAAAAGAGTAGAGAAAAGTGTGGGGTACGAAGCTGGTTGAGCGAAGTGAAACTAAATTGAATTTGTTTACGATTTGACGACGGAGGCCTAAACTGTATTTGTCTCAAGACTTTTTYCTTATACTTTGTTAACTTTATTTTTTTGTATATCCCGTCTCAAATAGCTGAGTTGGAGATTTAATTTTGAGGCGGTTCTTTAACTGAAAGTTGTTGCATGAATTTGGGGAATATTTTTGTTTTAAAGTAAATGTTCATGCATTTTTAGTAGGAAAGTTCAATTCATTAAAATATCACAACCACTTACTCTTCTTAGTTTGAATATGATGGCCATTAAATTTGTGGTTGTGAAATAAAGGTACTACACAAATGAGCAATAATATTTGAAAACATAAACTTTTAAGCCATAAAATAAGAATACCTGTTAGTACCGACARCACAAGTTTCAACATTTCAACTTATCAACTCGAAGAGTATTATGTGGTATTAAATACGGGAACCAATTGATGCGATATTGAATTTTATCAAGTCGTTGACGTAGAAAATTCTGCATACGRCAAAAATAATTATTGGCGAAATGACGATTGCAATTCACAAGCAAATCCTATTACGAAATCAATCGTCATAAGACTTCCAGCAATCAGCATAAAGTAAAGTAAGTTTAAGGAGCTGATAGCGTTGACAACTTACCAGCAATTTCAATAGTGATACAAATCACAATAAGTGCGAGAGATTGTATTGGTAAATGAGTGATTTATAATTTACGTTACTTTTGTTGTTAAGCTTATGTTTTGTGCATATCATCGACAATTGTGAAATCATGCCTTACCATGAGTAAAAATGTAATGTAAGTTTGCTCGGAATTTGCGAAGAAACTCACTGTAGATATCTCTACATTAAACGTATTATTAGATTTGCGACAAGTAATTTTCACAGGCTTCTCCTGAAGCCAACTTTACTCCATTAAGGGAGTTCYGCATYGAYTGARACAAGTGGTAGTCCGATGGAGCAAGGTGCACCAAAACTTCCCAGTTTTTGCGAATCATCAAAATAGTGTGTGATCTAGCGTTGTCCTGATGGATGACGAAGCYTTTCTGTTGATAAATATCTGGCTGTTTCTTTTTCGATTATTTAATTCATTTTCATCAGCTGTTGACAGTAAAATGTAGAATCAATTGTTCGACTGTGCTGAAGCAGCTCTTAATGTATACTTCCTTTCCAAACTCACCAAGCACTCAGCATAACCTTTCGAGGCATCAATGCTGACTTTGCGACCATTTGCTTTATAACGCTTAGACCATGATCTTTTTCACATATTACTGTCGTATATGATCCCCTTTTCGTCTCCTGTTATTATGAGCTTCAGCAATGGTTCGATTTCATTTCGTCTAAGCAAATATTCGCAGATGTTATTTTAGTCCATTAAATTTTTCGCAGACAATTCATGTGGTACCCAAACATCGAGCTTCTTTTTGTAGAAAGAGTCTTGTAGTAGAGTCTTTTTCGACTACCCAATGACCGRCTTTATCTAGAACACGGCTTAGTTATCTTGGAGCTTCATAGTTCAAAGTATTGGACGATATCATCATCATACCATATAATTTTTTTTTTTGGTTATAATTTGTTGAAAGAAAACTCCCAAATATGATACACATGGTATATATAGGTTTATGGGAATATCAGTGTATTTACCTATTTAAGCGTGTCTTTGATTCTTCAAGCTTTAAAGAATAGAGAGTTGAAAAAACAGCTGACGTAAATMTAAGAGAGTGTTAAAGTATAATATCTGAAAATATTGAGTGGCAATACCAGTTGTTTGAGAAGTCTTCATACTCACTTGATTAGAGTTTCGTTTGATAAAAATTATATAGAATTCTAAGGCAAAGTTCTCTCGCGATCACAATATCATTTGGTAAGTAGAAATTGCATTCTRATGCAAAGGTTTTCACAAGATCGAACTATGATTTCTGTAAGTTAATAAATGGCAAATCAGAGAATTTATGTCAAAAAARTTTTCTTATATTTTTTGATTATTTTAGAATAATTTATGTCTATACCCTAAAATATACTACTTGAATTGACTCATTTCATCAAGCTCACTTCATATAAAATATTTACATATGTTGAACACAAGTTAAGTTACCTTTTTATAATACGAAATCTCATCTCGAAATTTACTAACCTTGAAAAAAAAATTCTAAGCCTGCTAAAACGACTAGATATTTGCTTAAAATGCGYTGAAGTCAAAAAGTCAGTGCTTTTCATAATTATTTACCTTAATGGCAACACTATAAAAGAGCAATAAAGTTAGGTCTCTCACCACGCTCACTGCATGACGCAACTCAAAACAAAAAGTAGGCAAAGCCAACCAATTATGAATTTATTTTTTTTTTTTTTTAGTTTCACAAAAAGTACCGGTTCGTGTCGTGAAACGCTCAGTTGCAGAGTGAGCAAGAAAGTGTTCAGGTGTGTTGTTCAGCACTAATAGTAAGCGAAATAGTGAAGTTGAATTATAAACTACAAGGCTGTTAAGTCTTTTTGTATTTGTATACCTCGAACGTACACCTCGCTGTGCTGAAATTCCGCATAATTAGACATACAAAATCGTTGTTATATTATGAAAAGTTATTGGAAGTGAAGTGAAGTTCTGAAAATAGATACTTATAGCTAATACTCTGGCCGGCACTTTGGAGTGGTCAAGTGAATTATTTGGAGTGGAATTAGCAAGCTATCTTTTTTTTTCTTATATTATATGTATATAAGTATATATATTTTGTTCATTTATAAATTCTGACAAAAAATTTTGTTTCTTTCATCAACACTCGACGTTAAATATTTGTCTAGATAACTACATACTTGGTTAAGATGTCGTCAAAACCAGTTCTCTATTATACGCTACGCAGCCCYCCATGCCGCGCCGTGCTGTTGACAGCTGCCGCTATTGGACTGGAATTAGAATTGCGGTAAGTGTCGTGATGCTTATCATTCGGAAWGTCAAACGTGTGCAAGTAGTATACATACGTAAGGTAATCAAATGATCGCCGCCTTTAGTCAAATTGAGTACAAAATTACCAAGCTAAAATAAAAATTTACAGTYGTTTCATATTAAGATCAACTTCTTAATTTATATAAAAGTATATGTATATGTATGCTTTGGTTACAGTAAACTTTGATTTTCATGATTGGCGCCACACACATACATACCTATATGACAAACGAAGCACTAATCACTAACTCCAACTATCTATCTCATACTTAAATACTAATTTATACAATAATTTTTTCTGCTCTCCCACACAAACCTTCTCCACYTGCAGTCTCACGAACCTCAAAGAGCGCGATCACCTAACACCTGAATTCCTCAAGCTCAATCCTCAGCACACCATACCGGTACTGGATGATAACGGCACTGTAGTAACAGACTCGCATGTTATTAACGCTTATCTGGTGGATAAATACTCATCAGATGAGACACTCTATCCCAAAGATCAGCAGAAGCGTAGGGAAGTAGATGCGCGTCTCTACTTCGATGCSGGTCATTTATTCCCACGCGTGCGTCTTATGGTCGAACCGATTATCTACTTTGGTGCGGACAAMATTCAGGAAGAGAAAATCCGCTACATGAAATTAGCTTACGATGGCTTGGAGAAGTGTCTTGCCAATGCGCCGTATTTGTGCGGKCAGCATTTGACTATCGCTGATCTGTGTGCTGTCGCTTCGGTGTCCAGCGCCGTGCACTTTGCGCCYATCGATGAAGAAGAATTCCCACAGTTGGCTGCTTGGTTGAAGCGCCTGTGGCTCTTGCCCTACTACAAGAAGAGCAATCAAGAGGGCGCCGAYTTGTTGGGCAGCTTTGTTAAAGAGCAAATGGTGGCGAATAAAAAGGCTAAAGAAGCAGAGAAGTGAAAGAGCGGTAGGTTTCATAAACATTGATATTAAAATTTAATAATTAAATGAAGCAAGAGAAATATTTAATTGGAAACTAAGAGAAATTTCGAAGAGAATGCATTTTGTAATTGTTAAAGGGAATCTTAATAAATCGTTTAATTGTTTGCAAAAGAGATTGAAAGTTGGTTTATTTTTTATTTTTRTATACATATTATTTTCAAGATTTCGAAACACGAAAACGAAATACGAGTATATTAAATGCTAAATACAAGAAATCTCTTTGTATACATAGATAAAACTTTACAAGTCATTAACCTGCAAATCCCCAATAAAACTCGAGAACTCATCAACTTCGATAACACCTACGCGCACCTACGCTAACGGGTGATCTAGTAGGGACGTCGCTTTGCTGTATAGGCTTTTGAAAAGTTCCAAGAASATCGGACGCTTTCGAGCCAWATTCTGTTCAGCGCCCAYGTCGRACCCAATGGGTAAGTAAACAAGCAAAATTGGCGCGTTTGAGACGAAGAGCAGACTGAAGATATGCCAATTCATTCAGAAWAAASAAGGGTTTGGTATGGTTTKTATACCGGTGRAATCAGCTGTTCAGATTTCCTCAAAAATGGTACCAATGTGAACCGTTATCGCACCACGATACCGTCTATTTAAAACCTGAAAGAGAGAACACTTCGTTGAGCAGATAATTTCACGTTTCGGGCCGGTCACTTGGCCACCRAGATCGTGTGATATCACACAGTTAGACTTTTCTTGTAGGGATATGTAAAGTCTAAAGTCGATGCGAGCAATCCCGCTTCGATTCAGGCCAAACAACATCACACCAGTCGAAATGATCGAATCTATCATCGAAAATTGAAATTAACGGATGAACCATCTGAGGCGTAGCCTCGTTCAATAGGGCTAAGTGAGGGTGAAGTCGTAGATGTAGCCAATTGATTTCTGCTTACAAGCAGCTACATTGGCATTTGTACCTCCGATTAAGGGTACATATRATGTCCTGCTCTGCAAACAGTTTCAGTCGGATATTTTCGCATAAATCGTACCTGTAGATTGTTGCTTGAAACAGAGTCGGCTTCTGGGAGCTTCAAGTGGTATTTTCTTGATTACGTCGACTGCATCGAACAATATGCCAACCAGAGYAGGGGTACAGTAAATTTAGACACACAATAAAKGCCGTACTTGGAGTCAAACCACGACCTAAAACAGACGWAGAGCTCGAGTTGATCCGTGAATCTATAGTGGCCCTTGCGCAACTTCTACTGGRTACTGKAGCAGGTTAAACACTTGGTTATTCAGAATCGAACCTGACATATCAAATATATGGTCCGAGCTCGTCAAAATAGCATGTTTGTTGAGCATACCGTTAGCCAATTTCGACGATAACCAACATGAACCTTATCACATAGACTAAATCGCTAAATCAACTCAGCCCGGTACGCTAATAATTTCTAGATAGATACACGTTAAAGGGTCTCCGACCATGCCTGCTGGTTGTTACAAACTTCGTAACAAACTTAATACACCATGTTCAGAGTATAAAAATTAGTTCAAAGCTGTGTGAAAATTGCAAGAAATAAAGGAAAGAGAAACAAAACGGMTAAATAGACAGATAACGCGCATTCGCATCATTAATCATGTGAAAAGTTTAGACTTTATTTTAACTGGAAACTTTTTATGTTCAATCACGTAAAGTTAGATGAGTGCTTCCCACCGCCACACGGCACGCAAATGCTGATTTGCTAAATAAATATTATACATACGAGAATATGCGTAACGCCAAGTMAAGAGGAAGCTGCCTCCGGACTCACTCGGTCATTGCTGCATGTTGAAATTGCACATCAKCACATTGCCAAAGTTTTGTTTTGGAAAAGTTTCACCTTTGACTTTACCGGCACACACACGCACTGAGTAATGAACTTCCCCGCACGTTAGTAATGACAATGATTACCTTGATGAACTGCAAAGGAAATTCGACTGAGCAAATTGGACATGTGGAGCGAATAGGCGAAGAAGATTGCTTTAAAGCTAAAACAATGCTCGTTTTCGAACAAAAGCGAAAGGGCACACACTGCTAAATGAAGGTGAAGCAATGAAAAAGGCGATGAAGGCGAAGGTGAAGCAATGAAAATGGCGMTGAATACAAAGCGAAAAAGCTGCAGTTTATTTGATGTGTTTCCTCAGCGTTTGAGTGGCAGTTGCCTGGTTCGTGGAATGCTAAATCGCCTTGAGGTCTTTGAGGTTATGCTGCCACCGTAGCTGCTAGAAAGAACAGTGTACCAATAGTAAACCAATTGACTTCTGCATATCTTCGCATGTGTAGTTTTTATGTATGTTCACCCGCATAAAAAGTTGAGCGCACTTTGCACTCGAACTCATATGTACTAGTGTTTTGGTGTGACTGTAGCTTATATGTTTGCGTTAAGTRTTCTACACCTGACCGGTTAGTTTTTGCCAAATGTCTTGCCGCTATCAAAAGTGGAAAAGTTTCATCGTTTCGTGAGCAAATCATTAGAAGAGTCTGCTGGCTAACGGCAGCGCGCTTTTGCAACTTTGACATCAAAGTTATCATAGAAATTGCCTCGTACAGTGAAGCTGGAGTATAAATTGCGTTCCCAATAGTTTTTTGTAAAAATTAATTCACCTTCCCAAGCACCGTTGCCAATGCGMAAAGCACCATTATTCTTTCGTAGAAYCTTTCTCTCAAAAACTCATAACGTCGAATCATCAGATAATTTCATTGTCAATGCTTCCGCATCACATATCAGGAGGGGAATGAAGAGGGACTTATAGAGTTTGCTCTTTGTTCGTCGAGAGTGGACTTTACTTACTCGATCCTGACGAAGATTTAGGTTTTACTCAACGTCAGCTTACACAGCCGTATTAATTTTTTGGGGACACAAGTCAAATTTGAAATGATTGAAAAATAAAGTAGGTCAAACTTTTCAATAYCACTTGCAGCACAATTTTGAATCTGTTCATATTTTTCCGGTTAAAATTGCTAGTATGAAAGAAAGACCCCGAACCAATATTAGTTTTCCAACAGCTAAAAAAAAAATCACTTTTGCTTCACTGTGCGGTGCGTAAAAGTTTTCGCCAAGAAGTTAAAGTCCAACGAACCATGACTCTAAGCGAGCTGACTTTGTTACGCAGAAAAGTTTTAGACTCTCCGCTTGCTCGGAGTATAGTGAAGAACCAGTGAATGGCACTTGCTTGTAATTAGACACGTATGTACTATATTTTAAATGTTTTTAAGGTGTGTTTAGTTGGAATCTGTTCGTTGGAAACTCTTACAAATCTATATAAAGTTAAGTGCTTATAACTAATAAYAACGTCAAATTAAAATGAGAAAATCGCTGTTATTGAAGTATTTATGGTTGTGATTACAAAATATCAAGTTTGCTACATATTTCCAGAGAGAAATTTGTTAAGAATATGATTTGGTGTGTTTAGGGAAGTATACTACTTAGTTTTAGCATTTTTATGAGTTCTTTATTTTTGTTATTCTTTTTGTGTATTTGTGGTTTGATGAACACTTAAAGACTGTGAACAAAAAGTTTGTTATATATTTATTATAGCCTTAGTGATTCGGACCAACATACTATTTTAATTTTTTCAAAAGAGGCTTTGGGAGCATATAAGCATGCTTAAACTTATTTCGGATACATAAAGTTAAAAGCCTCGATTTGGATTGCTTTCAGTGCCATTATCGAATTTATGTTTTTTTTTTTTTCGGAGCGCCACTTTTGCAGGAAGAGCATTTTGGCCTGTCATGACTTTTCGGCAGTTAAAAGTCTCTCTCCCCGTGTTATCTCTAAATCCAGGATGGTACGTTCTTAATGATCCTATGCGTCCTCTTTCTACCGCATCCCATTGCTTTGCTACTCTTCGAGGCTCGCCTGTCTCTCCTTTTCGCTAGTCAGCCGTTAACGTCTTTTCATAGATTTTCATTTTTGATTCATAGCTCTGAGGCTATTAAATCTGGCGGCATAAGAACAAATGTGATGATGGCYGCTTCATRTAAGACCRTTTTAAATGCACAGGCCACTCCMATGACSCATAATCTGGACACTGCYTTTGTATTATTGCCATTTGGTTTTTGACCCAGTGCTGYCCACCATATGGGAACCGCGTACATCAGTGTTGACTAGCTGACATTGTTAGACGTTATTCTAGCCGTAGGCTTTTTAACATGGRCRTTGAAATTAAGCCTCGTATCAATCATGGCACCAGGGTTCCTCAGTGATGATAACCACTGCTTCGGTCTTTTGGACCTACATCGGTATCGTAAAGTAGTAGTCTGTCAGAGAGATAGCTACCAAATATCCTCAACAAATATCCGGTATTTTCCTTGCCTTCGGACATGACATTTGGTCAGGATGCAGAATTAAAAGCATTTTTCTAGTCTATGCGCAATACTTATTGACCTTGGCCATAATGTCTGTCAATTTTCTGACTGCGTCCATGCTGGATCGACGTCTACTCAGACAAGACAGACAACTCTCTGATGAAAGGTTATATTTCAGACGTGTGCAGATCAGCCTCTCTAATATTTCAACCATCGCATCGATCATATAAAGTGATTAACATACATTAACCCGCGTCGCGTTATCAGTAGTAATGCATTTTATGAAAGTATGGTTATCAGCTATTTTGCAATGCACCTACATTGCGACCTCTACTCGACATCGGTTTTGCAAAAGAATCACGTATATTGGTAAGAGAATAAAAGAATGTTAAGATCCTCTGCTCCAAATCGACGATAATCAATTTCATTTCATTTTCGTTATGATCGTCATTAGCAGRGGTGAAGGAATGAGTACAATGTGACTTACCGACCTTTACTGATTGCTTTATGCCACACAAATCCTTAATGTTTTTTTATAGTGATGGGAAGCTACATTATTAGAACGCATGACCATTTTATTCCACAATTCTTACAAAATATCTCTGCATCTTTAGATTATCAAAAACAAGATAAGAAACAAGTTTTGATTAAAATTATAATTTCCAGCCACGTCTCGGTCACGCAAAGATTTTTCAAGCAAACTAATTTGAATTTCCGCTGAATGCAACATTTTACAACACTGATTTAAATTTCAATTCAATTGAAACTTTTCTTATTTGCTACAACGTAGCAAGCAAGTAAGCGATATTT